TATCTATCTATCTATCTATCTATCTATCTATCTATCTATCTATCTATCCACCCATCCAGCTATCTAACCCGGACTGTATAAACTAAACCTTCCAGTTTATGCCAACAGACTCAAGCTTAGGCCATGCACACTATCCACATGTTTATAGGATTAAGAGGGTTTCCAAAAGAAGAGAATAACATACCATAACAGTGAGTATGTGCTTCCCACAGGCCTCATGGTCCAGCCTTTGGGTAGTGTAGATTGTGCCAAGTGTTGGGTGGATTCGGAACAGATGCATGCTGATGGGCTCTATGGAGCTGTGCAGAGAATAGGTAAGTTGGTGATAAATGTCATGATCAGATGCTGATATCTGGGCCACCGGAGCATCTGGTGGAGTGTCTTCAGCAACAATGATCTCATAGGTTGGTTGAGAGAAGGTGGGATTGTTGTCATTCACGTCAAGAACATTGATGTGAACCTAAAACGTTTGGTGTGTTGAAAAGAGAGAAAGAACAGAGGAAATACATGATTAAAAGGGGACATCAGTGGCAGTCAGTGTACTTTGTGGCCAATGGACACCTATTTAGAAATGACAAAAGATAATTCAGAAAAACTTACCATTTAAAATGAGGAACTTAAGAAATGTTCACAGTAAATTTTTTTAAAGTAAAATAAAAGTATATTTAATATTCTATATTATCAATTTTCTTAAGATGGCTTACATCATGAATGCATGCCACATTGCACTGGTTTAATCCATCTTTTGATGTAATTTTTTCTTTTTTCCTTGTTTATTTATTGTAGATCTACATTTTCTCACAAATTAACCAAACCTATTGAAATAGCTTCTATGACATCTGAGCAGTTATCTGTTTTTCTTTTCTAAATAAGTTACATGACTTTAAACTTTCAAACGAATAAAGAAAAACAAGGAAAAAGTATCACCTGTGCATATGCAGTGTTCGTTCCATCTGTGGCCTGCACTGTCAGGTTGTAGAATGCGCACTGCTCAGCATCCACAGGCTTGGCGATTACGATTGTACCCATCACTTTTTTTACATTAGTTGACTTACTGCTGTTTCGACCTGTTCAAAAGAAGTGAAATTACACAGGACACAGAGGTACCTAGAGTAAATCATACAAATAGGAATTTAAACCAGTGAAAATACATTTGTGGATCACAGACTTGAGCCTATTTGTAACCAAATGGTAAGATGTTATTTTAGACCTGCTGTTTTTGAAAACAACGTTCACAACTTTCACTTTGCGGTTTGAGTAGGTAAAACCACAAACTTTGGTTGCACATATGATGCTCAAAAATGTGACTCACAAAGAGGTGTGATACATTTATACCTAGATGCTGATGGGAATAAAAGCTGTTTGACCTCATAAAAACACTTATTTCACACACTACAAACAAATCATCAGTGAGAGATACACAACTATACCTACCCAAAGCATACAAAAGCAATGCAACATAAACATTAACTAAGAAAGACATAAGAAATCACAAAGCAAACAAGCATACAAGAAACCTTGAATTCCAAAGAAACCAAAACTATAGATAAATAATCCTCAAACTGGAAGAAATCCAATCAAACTCAACAAAAGTCCATAATTGATTACATAAACTTGAAATATTATAATGCCTAGATGTATACAGAAAAGTAAGATTACCTTCTGCTGAACAGTTCCAGGTACAAATGCTCTGCACAATGTAGAACATCTCACGGAGAAGCTTAACACCTTTAAGGAGAAGTGTTGAAAAAAGAGAGGGGAGGTTGTTAGCACGGCAAAACATATGGATCATTTCATATACTAGCTAGCCTATTTGAAAATAGGATTCTTTTTACACCTACTGCAATATGATTTTGTATTGAAATCAGTGCAATATCTTTTTTTTGTTTTGTTAATTTTTTTGCAGACATCATTCAAATCCCACCGAAGTTGGGAAAATCTTGGCAAAAACACAATGGTATATTGCAGGGACTCTACGGTATCTCAGATAACTTTCATTCTAAAACTGAGAACCGGGTAAGACCAAACTGCCTTTGCAATGCCATGCAGCCTCAAAGTCTGTTCCCTTGGAAAAGTGTTCTTTCAAAAAAACAATGACAAGGGGGAAAAAAAACCTCGAGGGACAAAGAAATCCAGCTCATTGATTAGAGCCACTCATTGATTGTAGAGAAAACTGCGATCGATTGGCTTGTTTGCAACAGCTTAGAATGGAGCAACACCCAATTTATGTAGTCAGGGTTTTTTTTTTTTGCTCTGGTGTTCAAACCTAATTATATTTTCACGAAAAGCTACCCATGAGCAGCAGGTGAGACCGTGCACCATGCAGACTGTGGCTCAGTACATGAAACATATTCATCAATATTAAGAAAGACGACAGAGAGCAACAGACTGTCCTTATGTGGTTACTCAGATGCAGAGTTAAGTACATCATATCATATCTTCATCAAAATCTTCCCTCATCCCACAGTTCCTGAAGTGATCCACACTTATCCAGCCCCTTTCCTCCCTGAATGACTTTTTCACAGGTCATTGTCTCAAGAGGGCATTCTGGGAAACTGCACGCACTTCGGACTGCACTTCTCCATTTCCAGAGATGTGATGAGGTCATGCACAGATCTAGCGGAATTTTTTTCAAATAGCGCTATATCTCTGATCAATATCTGACTTCTTTGAAAAAGGCCAATGTAATCTTTACTGATTAATCAATTAATTGCTTAATCAATTAATTGATTAATCTTGAATGTGCTGTTTCTTCACTATCTGATTGAATCTGTATATTGTCAGTAGATCACTTTAGTTGTTCAACTGCAAATTGCATGTTAGTACAATGACAAAAAAGATCCATTTATCTTATTTGATCTTACATGCGATATAATTAAGTTGCCTGTCAGCAGCATATTAGAAATAGAGTAGAAAAATATCTATTCATACCCAGTGGAGGAAATTGTTAAGTAGCTTTAACTGATTTGCCATGATTTACCATGAGAGCAAATAAATATGAATAATATATGCTAATAAATTAATAAAATTGAATAAACAAATGTATAACATATAGCATAATAATCAGAGAACTGTTAAATGTTACAATTTAAAAGCGTTATGGATGTTGGAAGAGTTTATAAATCTAGGAAACAGAAAATTACTTCCTCTACATCTGCTGCTCCAGTTCAAGAGTTTTACATTTCTTAAAGTCCAGCAATAATGGATGTGTTTTTGGTCCAGCCATGTACTCCCCTTACTGTCCACTGAGCACACATGCCACAACAGCCGTGTCATCAGAAAACTGTACCTCTGAATGTGGCAGGACAGGAGCTGTACCTGTCTGTTTTACCCTATACAGGGGGAAAAAAGGAGCTAAAACAGGAAGGGGCTTTACCTTTTATTTCAAACCACACGGGGTTTGAGTTCTGTTGTAAAGTCACAACGCCCACTATCTCAGCCACTTTTTTATTCTCCATGACGGAGAAATTATAAAATGACTCTTCAAAAAGCAGCGGTGAAGGCGATGGAGGCAAACGGGGGATCCACTCAATGTGGAGCCGGGCTGTCGAGGACTTCTGAGGACGGCCATTGTCCGTCGCTTTGATCTGAACAAAGCAGCACAGAGGAGCAAGGTTAATAGCACAAATGGTAGCTTTTTCATTGACTTAATGCTGGGACACAACACTTTCCACAAGCACCTTATTCAATTTTTCTAAGAGCCAATTTTTTGACTTTTTTTTTTTGCTTTGAAAATAACCATATGGGAGTTTGAAACCACTAAAACTTAGTCTCTGTGTCTCATTGTTCGACCTAGTTTCATACTCAGATTCTGCCACGCTCAGTGTATTTGGATATGTGAATTAAAACAATTTTATATTTTCTCACCTTCCAATATTGTGAGGCTCAAATCTAATACATTGTTATAGTTTTTTTTTTAAAACTACCAATGCTTTGCCACTACTCATCTTTCATGTTTACATCCTGTCATAAAATTCTGACTTCTGATTGGCATAATTAGAAATTAAAATTTCCCATTACTCATTACATACACTACATCCATGGGTTATAGTCATAAAACAAACAATGTGAAATATTGCAGAAAATGTCAAATAAAACATAGAGGAAGCAAATATAATAGAAATGACAGACTTTATGGAGCAGATGTAGGACGACATTTGTTCTCAATGACTTGCATCTGCTCAGTTCTGCAATGTGTGGTTTAACAAATTGGGTAAGTTCCACACTATTTATGACACATTTTTATCTAAAGAAGGATCAGTAACTTACCAGCCATCATTATACAAAAGAAAGAAAAGGGAAAGTCTCTATGTCTGTTAAAATTATATTGCCAGTCACTAAAATCTCACATTTGAGGGTCTGTGAGGGTCATTAGATACAACAGATCTAAAACAAGATAAAGTAAAGTGGGACACCCTCAAAATGATTTTTGAACAAACATTTAAAATAATGAAAGGGAAATGAGTTGCTGTAATTCATCTGCAATTTGTTTACCAAATTTCATCACTGACATTTAATTAAGACTTAAAGGAAATGGTTAAATATTGAAATCTAAAAGGCTAACTGTAAACACCACCTCACACACACAAACACACATGCTTAAAGTAAACATGTCTAACCAGAATGTCCATAATTGTATATGGTAGATGCAACACCAAACATGAGATCTATTTGAGGTCGGAATTTTTATCTTGAAAAATCTTAAAAATTCATTTAAAAGATGCTCAAAAATAGTTTCATACAGTCAGAATGTTGTGGCTTCCTGCGGTGAAGGCCTTGCGTGATGAGACTACTGCTGTCTTGGGCTCAATAACGAATTTTCCGTCCTCATTGCCATCCACAATGGCATAAGAGAGGTCGCCGTTGGGCCCGTCGTCGTAGTCGTAGGCGAACACCCGATAGATGGGCTCACCCTTCTTTGTACGCTCTCGCTCTGGTAGTTTGACCTTGTAGACCTTCTCATGAAAAGTTGGTTTGTTGTCGTTTTCATCCAGGACCTGCACCATCACCCACACTGTACTCTGCCTGGGACTGTAGCCTCCATCTGAAACCAATACCTGTGAATCCCGAAAAAAAGGGGTTGAAAACCTGCACACAATGCATACATATTTTCACAATTCAATTCAATTCAATTTTATTTATATAGCGCCACATCACAACAACAGTTATCTCACAGCGCTTTCCAAACAGAGCAGGTCAGACCCTACTCTGAAGTTAATTACAGAAACCCAACAATTCCCACCATGAGAAAGCACTAAGCGACACAGGCAAGGAACAACTTCCTTTTAACAGGCAGAAACCTCGAGCAGAACCATGGCTCAGGGTGGGCGGCCATCTGCCTCGGCCGGTTGCACAACACTGAAAAATATGAATAAGCAATGATGCACTCCACATTAGGTTGCATAAAACCTAATATTTAAGCGCACATGTCTTGGTATTTGTCACTAGCAGGCCCAGAGATTTTCCTCTCAAGGTGCTAACTGTCTCCATTGTGTCCTGAATAGCCACTTCAGCCACCATCAGCCCACCATATTCTTTGTGCATTTTTATTCTTTACAAGTTGCTACAGTTACATGACTCCTTTTGCAATCAATTTCTTTGAGGTAATATCTTATTTTTCTATCTTAAATGTATTTAGCGATCAAAAAGATGTACACATTCACCTTATTCTGTCAGTTGATCTGAGAAATGCTTTCTATTTGTCATAAAAAACACTAATTTTAATAATGACCTGTCATTTAAGGACATACTAAATGCGTCATCTAACGTGTCTCTTGAAAGCAGGTACAGGTGAAACTTCCAGGGCCCCAAAAGGAACGAGAGCATGTGGACGACATTCCCTCTAGAGATCACCTCAAAAGCTAGTAACAGACAGACAGCATGGACCAGGGCGGGTGATGGAACCCTTGTTCTGAGGGATGGGTGATTGGACCAACAGATGGCCGGGACACAGGAGACCAAATCTCAGATGGATAAGAACTGAAAGGTATTGTGGAGGGAATTGTACATTCCTGGGATCCTTCTCCCCCACTGGACTGGGCTAGGACATAATCACCAGATCCTACAGTGATGGTTGACCCTTATGGTTGGTGGAGATGAGAGGACCCTACAGTATGTGTATTCCTAACACAGCAGGATGTTCAAGAAACTAATTCTCATTCATGTAAATACAGAACAAAATGCATTTTTTAAGCTCCAAAGAACTGAACTGATAAAAAAAACAGAAAACAACTGGACCTAAATAAAAATACGGATATTCCCCAGTGAATATCTGGAGTAGGAAGTAAAGTAAACCAATTTAGGGGGGTGGGCAATGACCAGGGGTCTCATTTATAATAGTTGTGAACGTACAAAATAGGGCAATTATCTTCCATATAACACTCTCCATGCAAAGTTTGTGGCCTATAAATAAAAACCAATGCCACACTGCATCGGGATTTCTTTCACGGATCTAATTTCACTCCATATGAAAATGGAATCCTAGACGTTTTTTGCTTGTGCTGGTGAGCCATAAGGATCTTAAAAAAATGAGTTAAATCTTTAATCAAAATCCAAACATTTCATCAAAGTATTCTCCTCTTCCCGGTGATCACCAGAGTAATGTGTACAACAGATTAACACACAAATTGTGGCAAAGTATGAGGCAATCGGACTGACTAGCGTAAACATTTAAATACTGTGGTGACACCCGTGTGCAAAACTGTGTGATAGATGCACTGGCACTGCTGGAAAAGCTTGCAAATGGGAGAATTAAGAGAGAATGCACTGTCAGGGATCAACATCATCGAATAAGCCAACAATCAACTATTTTCCAAATGGAATTGGCACAATTTAGTGTAACAATGTGTTGTCACTCGCTTCTTTTTGTTTGTCAAACCATTTCTGTTTCTACTAAACAAGAGATTTTTTCAACTCTTTACCTCCCTGAATAACACATAGAAGGCAATCCTGCCTCTGCCTCGGCGAAATTGTGTTTCTTTGTTCTTTTTCTGTGGTTGCCATTGTTAACCATGATTTACATGGATATTCATGAGGGCTTTGCATCGACCATTTACAGGTAAACGTGGACGAGTAGAGGACAGGACATGAAGCAGAACCTTTAACGCAAACGTAGAGGTCCGGCTGTGAATTATAAAGGGGAAATTGTGTGCTTTTACAAATCTGGACTTTTTTTTGGCATAGATTTAAAAAATAATTATAGATCATATTTGCATATGTTTTAGAAATGAGACCCCAAGACATAAGAGAACTAAGGACATCATAGAACAAAACCAACTTAAACAGAAGGACAAATAGCAAAATGAGAACACAGAATAAAAAGAAGAAAATGATCAAACCACAAAAACACCAAAAAGATCCAAAATGTTGATTTAGGTAGGTAGTGTCATCTGGAACTGAAGCTGAGTAACATTCTTAAAAGAATGGAGACATGCACACTGAAATGCACCTGCCTCAGCAAACCATGTGCACACATTAGAAGACCGAAGTGTCTGATATGATTCAACTCCATTTTTAGCTTTATGTCAGAAAAGCTTAGAATACAGGATGTTAAATGCCACGCCACGTCATCACCTCTGCTCACATCTTTTATTAAAGTGTCTGGGACAGAGAGAGGAGGAACAGTTGAGGATAGAGAAAAGAGGATGCTGACCTCCAAAACATGCTCTGTCTGTTGCTCCCGGTCCAATTTCTGTGATGTTGTGGTGATCAGGCCTGGAAAACAAAACAGAAAAGGCCATTAAAACTATCTCTCTCTTTCTTAGACACAATTACAGATGCACTAACACAGAGACACTCAACTGTTTGAGACAACATATTAAGTATCTCAACTACGCCAAGAGTCAGGATATTCCCCGGAAAAGCAAAAGACAGGAAACGTTTGTGAAAGAGGCAGACGTTATTAGATCAATGGTGTGTTTAGTCACAGATGGGAGATTGTAATGAACAGACATTAGAGTCCAACACTATTGTCTTTGAGATCCTTGTTTCCTGCTGTGAAAGTGTTAGTAGAATTCCCTTAAGAGGCAGCAAAGATTAGCGAGACTACAATAGAGAGTAACCTCAAATACTTGCTTAATGTATCTTATACAAAAGTTTGCTTTATTGCAAAGGAGGGCAGAAAAAAAAGATCAGGACTAGCAATACTCATTCATTTATATTTTTTAAATTCTTTTTATCGAAAAGAGGAGGGATTTGACCAGAGGGCAAAAAACCTGAAAGGTGGAATCTGCGGTAGTTGAAGACATTTCTAAAAATGAGTTCCAGTCCTTTTAGAGGCATGCATTACTATTATAATATCATTATCCCTGTTCAGACATCCCTGAATTTACCTTGGACTTCAAGATGAAAATAGTAAAAGATTCCAATTTCGGAGCACTGGTCTATATAGGTGAAAAAGACCCAAGCTTTCTCAGTTGTTTGGATAAACTACTCCATATTTGACCATGGAAATATCTCCTGATAAATGTACTATAAAAGACAGCAAAATATTTGTTCGAAATGGCTGTAGGTGTTGTGTCTGTGAAAGAGTGCATCCACTAAAATGGATGCATCGGTGGGTAATTTTGCTAAAACAATGTCGTGCTCTTTAGTTTTCTCTGCATCCCTGCCAAATCTGACCATTAATGACCTGTTTGGCTGCATGCAGTCCTTAAACCACTGGCTGCCGAGGCAGTGTCCAGAAAACTACATGGGATACATAGATAATTGGCAGCTGTTCTGATGAAAATCTGGTCTGATTAAGAGAGACTGCATCCATCCCACTTTGGATGGGGCAGCTCTCCAAAAACATAAGTCATGGTTGATGGAGGGTTGTAGTGTTGTAGTCAAACACATTTCTCTGAAGACTTACTCCTACTGCAATTATTCCCCCCCAAATCCTACAATGTCCATGTCTTCTCCCAGACCACCAAAAGCTAATAATCAATCAACAAAAGTGGAGCAAATAAATCACATAGATAAATAAATAAGGATGAAGACAATAAATGTACCTGACAAAAAAAGAAGAATTTCTATGTTCTCTGCTAATTATTAAATATTTGTTTTCCAATTCTCTGTTAAGAAATAACCTGATTGGTGATTTTGAGAGTCAACAGAGTGATGGGAGGAAGAGTTATAATTGATCCTTTGTCTTGAAGATTTTACATTTTATCTCAACAACAATTAAACTATTATTAATCCCTTAATGTATTCTTCCTGGTAGCCTTCCATTTATTGTAAGGACATTTGTATATAAACTAAACAGCCAATAAGCCAAGATGACCAAAGTCGGTGGTTATAAGATAAACTTTAAGCTATCACCTTTGTGAAACTTTCTTTTCTCTTAAGGCCCCCTTTTCTTAACTTTTTGTCTATGTCAGGTTTTCTACTTGGCAACTAAAATGAAAACTGTCAGCAAGACATCAGATAGTGGTATCAATATTATTGGGAGTTAAACTGATAAGAAAAGTTACTCACCAGTGTGGGGGTTGATGGTGAAGAAATTCTTTGAATTTCCACTAATAATATTAAAACTGAACGGGTGAGAGCCAGAAGGGGGCAGGCCATCGGGATCTTGTGCCAGGATCTGGATGACAGAAATATCCTGTGGAGAATTCTCAGGGACTGAGGGCCGGTACAGCGGTTCGGAGATTAGTGGGGCGTTGTCATTAACATCCTCGACCTGAACAAACACCTCCATGGTGGTGAATTGAGGAACCACACCACGGTCACTGGCATACACTGTAAGCCAATACGAATCCTCACTCTCCCGGTCTAATGTATCAATTGTGTAGATGACCCCTGTTAGATAAAGACACAAACAATGAAGATAAGTTGGACGAAAGTAATAGTGGAGTGAAGTAATTTAGTAATGTCAGACAATTATTACCCTAAAAAGTAAATCTGTGGGAAATATAATTATATTTTATAATAGAATCAGAAAAAACAATAATGTGTCCAAGTTGGAGTAAATAAAACAGGTTTGAGTTAGACGTAAGAAATAAAATTCCATGCATCATCAGATAAAACCTGTTCCCACTACCACAGATATATATCGATATATGCAACACAGGTCACTTGTTTTAATGTTTGTGTCACCATGTGATCCATGACACCTGGTCAAAACTCTCAAGAAAGCTGAATGAGAGGACAGTGACCAAGTCTGGTAAAGCTTGGCTCTTTAAAAGTAATTCACTACTAACAACAACACTTCTCAAACAATACTGTGACAGTACAGTCTTACAAAATAAAAGTACCATACCATTATTCTTCAAAGTGATTGATGTTTATTCTAAGGCCTAGCAAACATAAAGTATGAATCTGTAAAAGTTTCTACATGCTTTTACATACAATCTTAAATGGGTTGAGGCATCCAGACTTTTGACTAGCATTATATGCTCTCACATGATGTTTTAACCTGCTGCAAGGGTTATGGAGAGAGGTATACATGGGCAGTCCATTTGATTACATCCAAGATCATTGATTTGAGGTGTAATAAATATTTGACATAGCATAGCCATATACATTGCATGAAGAGCTTGGGAATACGTGTTGACATATTAGATCTATTCAATTTCTTCCTATCCCGGCTTTTTAATTGTATTGAATTTAAATACAGCATTAGAAATGAAACAATCATCATAATATTGTTAACAATAATCATCTCCACAACAAGATTCTCCATTGGAGGTATGCTCCAGGACCTTGGTGTTTTTGTCTCTCCTATAATAGTTTGAAGCATTAAGTCGCATCCATGTGTAACGTGCACCAAATATGGAAATAGCTTATCAGGACCTTGATGACAGTAACCTAAAATAGTCACAGGACTACCTATTGAAACCTGAACTCTGGATCTCCACCTTGGAAAAGCAAATCAACAATGAGAATACATTTTATTGTTAGGCGACTTTCTTGACACTCAGTGTCACCATACATTGGTTAAAAACAACATAAACAATAAAAACCAAAGTGATCAATAACAAAAAATAAAAATCTGAATAAAATTCCATACTGAAAATGAAATCATTGGGAAAATCCAGTTCTTAACCTGTAGGTTTTAAGTTTGGATTTGAAGTGTGGGGGTCAGGCAGTGTTTCTGGGATCTGGGGCAGACAGTTCCAAAGACGAGGTCCAGAGTGGCTGAATGCTTTGCTCCCCATTGTAGCGTGACAGGCAGGTGGGATAGTTAGGTGGATAGAGGCAGAAGATCGGAGAGAGGGCATAGAAACATGGAGGAGGCCAGACAGGTAGGGAGGGACAAGGCCGTAAATTGATTTATATTCTAAGAGCAGGATTTTAAATTAGAATTTTTAATTGAATTAGGAGCGAGTGGAGCCTTGTAAAACAGGAGTGACATGGTGGATGGCTTATTGTGAGGATGTGAGCAGCTGAATTTTGCACTAGGTGGAGTTTATGGAGGGATTTGTGAGTGACAACAGAGAGAAGGGAATTTCAATTGTCCGGGCGAGAAGTGGCAAGGCTATTAATAAGAATAGAAGTGGGATGGGGGTGAAGGAGGGCTGATGGCAGTTAATCTTGCGTAGGTGAAAATATGCAGACTGTGCAATGGTATTGATATGGGAATGAACACCTAGACTCTTAACCTGTAGGGAGGGGGAGACAGTGGATTGTCAATAGCTACTAAGAAGCCGTCGGTTTTGGATAGTGTTGCTTGAGAACCAATGAGGAGAATCTCAGTTTTGTCACTGTTAAGTTAGAGAAAATTGTAAGAGAACCAGGATTTCATGTCTGTTAGACATTCAGCCAGGGATAGAGCTGGGTGTCATTCTCATAACAGTGGGGACTGATAATGTACTTACAGAAGATATTGCCAAGAGGTAAGTGATGAAAAGAAGAGGCCCCAGGACAGGGCCTTGGTGTGCACCTGAAGTAATGGGAGAATACTGGGATGAGAAGGATTTGAGTTTAATGAACTGAGTGTGGCCTGAGATGTAGGATCTGAACCACTCCAGGGGAGTGTGGGTGATTTTTGGTTTTGGGGGGCAATAGACTGTTGCAATAGTGGTAGGAATAGGTCCGGGCAGTTGACAAATAGTGGATTGGAGCTACACAGCTGAGTACTGGAGCAGTCCCATCACGGGTTGGCAAGTAACAAGAGAATCCAGGCTAAAACGAACCAGATGTATAGCCTGTTGGACCACATTGTTGGTGTGAACTTGGGCAACGTAGGCTTCAGGTGAGCGGTCTGCCCTACTCAGCCCTGATGAAACCCCAACCAAGTAGGTCCTGACGTTGTAACTGTTTAGTGGAGCCATCCTCAAGTGGAAATGCAAAAATACCGAGACGGAACCTGTAGAAAAGCACCATAGCGCCATGCCTCAGCTACAACCTGAGCAGTTACCCATGTGTCTAACAGAGGAAGTGGCAGCTGTGCTTAGGTGACTTTGGTGAGGGTTGCAGGTTGCAGGTCCAGAAAGAGTCTGTCCATAGCTTCATGAAAAAGGGCAGCTTTGGTGGAGTCAACCCTCCCTGGGAATCAATCCGACTTACTGCCAGAAACTACTTAACTCTGTCACTCAAACAAGAGTGCCCAATACTCCACACTCCCAGAGCACCGCCACAGTATTTATATAAAAGTATATCTAATATATATCTTGTAATCTTATTAGGAATTGTTCATATTTTGTTTACATTCATGTGAGAAAGTTTTTACAACACACCTCTTAAAATTAACAGTGATATACATGAGAAAGTGCTTAAATAATACTCACCCGTCTCTTCATCTATGGAAAATCGGCCAAGTCCACTTCCATCATGAATAGCATATTGGATTTCTCCATCTCTCCCAGCATCGTCATCAGTTGCACTGACTTGGAGTAAAGTAGTTCCAACACGGGCATCCTCTTTAATCACTCCCGTTAGAGCGAAGTGGGAGAAGTGTGGAGGATAGAGGTTTTCATTCACATCTATTACCTCCAACTCCACATATGTCACAGAGAGAAGAGAAACAGGCCGTCCTTTGTCTTTGGCTTTTACAGTGAGGTTGTAGAACTGTTGGGTCTCATAGTCAAGTTCCTTTGTGAGCCTAATCGCTCCACTGACCCGATCCAGCTCAAACCATCCATTGTGATCATTAACAAGAGAATACCTGACCTGACCTCCCAACCCTATATCAGGGTCCTGAGTTTCTAACCAAGCCACAACAGTTCCTACTGGAAGGTCCTCCAGAGCCCTGGCTTTGTAAACACTTGGAATGAATAGTGGGGGACAATCATTTACATCTTCCAATATAATCTTCAGTGTAGTCACAGAAAACTTGCGGCTCCCTCTGTCCGCTCTGTCCCAAGCCTCAATCTTCAAGTTAAAAGTAGATACCAGTTCCCTGTCTAACTGACCAGCAACATATACAATCCCATTTGTGGAGTTAATATTAAATTGGGTTGTTTTTGTCAAAAGAGAATACACAACCTCGCCGTTGAGGCCCAGATCTTTGTCAGTTGCTTCAACCTGGATGATATCTGTACCTATGGCAGTGTTTTCAGGTATGACTAATCGATAGCCATCTTGCAAAAAAAGGGGTGCGTTATCATTAACATCCTCAATGTTAACAGTAAGCAAACGCCATGCCATTTTCTGTGGGAAGCCAAGGTCATAGATCGTAATGTTAAGGAGATAGTGATCTCTCTTTTCTCTGTCCATGGGTTGGAAAACATAGATAAGGCCAGTCTGTGTGTCAATGGCGAAACAATCGTCATTGTTTCCATTTTGAATAGAGAATACAATCCGACCATTAAAACCGGTATCCCCATCATAAGCATTCACCTTGAAAACACTTGAGCCAATCTTTAGATCTTCTTGCACAGAAACAGCTGAAGGTAATCTTTTGTCAAACTGGGGGGTTTGCCTATTGACAGAAAACAGATCTACAAAATCCTCTTCAATTTTGACTTTTGTATTAACTTTGGACTTTTTTAGTAATTTTTCTGCCATTTTTAGGGCTACCCTTGTATCTTCACAACTGAAATGCTTGGGAAAAGATTTTCCATGAACAACAGAAATATTAACAAATGTAGGATCAGAAATTTGTTCACCATCTGTTGCAATTATTTTCAAACTGAATAAAATATTCTTTGGACTCCATGTGGTGATGGGATGTCGCAATTTAAGGACCCCAGAATTCGGGTTGAGGTCAAATTGATCCTGCTCATTTCCTGAAATTATTCTATATTTTACAAGCTCTAATTCATCTACATCAATTGCAGACACTGTAGTAATTACTTCATCCAGTGGAAAATCTGCTGCAATAAACCCTTGGCAACCTACTTTCTCAAACAGTGGCTTGTTATCATTTAGATTTTCCAAGTGGATTGTTACACTGGCTTCACTCTCTCGTCTGTAAGGTGAACCCCAGTCAGAAGCTCTGACATGAAACACAAACATCTGTGGTGAGGCTTCAAAGTCCAAATCTGTTGTGGTTCTGATAACACCAGAAAACTGATTTATTTTGAAAGGCAATGGCTGGAGGCTGGAAATGCTGTAAGTTATATATCCATTCTCACCTTTATCTTTATCCACTGCAGATACTGTCAACACATGAGACCCAACTGGAACATTTTCATTTACAAAAACCTCATAGGATGTCTGAGCAAAAGTTGGTGTGTTATCATTGGCATCTTCAATGGTAACTTGCACTTTAACTGTGCGATCAGTCACTTTTTCCAGCACCTCAAGATTAAAAACATCCTGAAATACCTGTGTAAACCAGCTGGTGGTGGAGATTACACCTGTTTGGCTATTCATTTGAAAGAAAGATGAATCTGAACAAGATGACAGGACATATTCTGCACCATCAGGCTCTGGCCTGATTTTAATAGCACCTACAATTGTGCCTGGTGGTGAAAATTCGTTTAAACTAACATCATACAAATCTTGCTCAAAATTTGCTTCCTCATTCTGCAGTTTCTTTAACACTATGTGGACAACCTTCTGAGCAGACGACTTCTGTGGTGTTCCTCTATCTTTAGCCTGCAAGATAAGATCATAGCTGTGGGAGAAAAACTCCTGGTTTAATGCCTCAGAGGCTTTTACTACATACTCATTTTCTCCATATTTTTCTACAAAAAACTGTCCAGTGGGGTCCCCACCCACTATGATAACTGAATCAATTTCTCCATTTAATCCTTCATCTTGGTCTTCAACTGTAATCATGGCATATACCGTGTTTTCATCTAATGTGAAACGGCTGAGGGTGACTACATTCATGACTGGGGCATGTTCATTTAAGCGTTCTATGTGAACAAAAAGTTTGGCTGTGCTGCTGACCCCATTATTTCCATACAGTTTCATGCCACGGTCGACAGCCAGGATTTCTAAGTCATGGCGGTTCTTCTCGTCGATATTAAGCTTTCCGCTCAGGTAAACAATGCCACTAGTTGGGTGTACTGCGAATTGTTCCATTTTCTCCTTGAAAAAAAAATAAAACTCTCCATTAGAGCCAATGTCTGCATCTGTGGCTGTAACTTGAGCAATACTGGTCCTGAGTGGAGTGCTTTCTGCGATGGTGACAGAATATGTTGTTGGTGAAAATAAAGGCCGGAGATCATTCATATCCAGTACTTGGATACTGACTTTAGTCCATGTCTCAAGAAGGGCCTCTCCCTTGACATATGCTTTCACTGTCAATACAAAATTATCCTGAATCTCTCGGTTCAATATGGCTGCATTGCCTCCCTTAGTCCTTATGCGCAAGAAACAAAAGTCACCGAGCAAATACTCCTCCGGCTTAAAAAAGCCATCATCATCTCCTGAGGTGATTCTATATCGAATTTCCCAGGAGTGCTTGTGTATGTAAATGCCCATTTTAATTTTACTGTTGGCATAGGTGCGTGCCGCTGAATTTTCATAAATTGTAGCATGGTATACAGACTGTGTGAAGCTGAAATTGGACCCATCCTTTGAATCTTCATAATCAATGCGGCCATTGCAGACTGACAGCTTGAATATCAAGAACAACAGCGGGAATAAGAAGCCTAGAAGATGGGCATGCATGCCAGTCCATTTGCCCATATTCAATTTCGTCCCTTTATAATTCCATCCTAAGAAAGAGAGAGAAAGACAAAAATGGGAAGGCACAGGTTAATCAAATACGGATGTGCACATGAAAAAAGATTTTAAAAATAAAATCAAGTCATCAATCCACATTTCTGGTTAGAATCCTGTCTGGTAAGCACACTTCTGTGTTAGATGTTCTTCCTGTAAATGCATGGGTTCACATTGAACAACCTGTCATATTTCTAAAAAATAACACCAAAAATTCCATCTTAAAACTACTATTTTTCTAAAAGTGATTTGGTTTCCAAACTAAATGAAATAAGAAAATAGTCAAATGAATTCTTAGCCGTCCACAATTATTATATGTATATATATATAATTTTAGAAAATGTCTGCATTTAGTAAGTAAACAGGTTAATATTTTTGCCCTGCATAGTTTTGAGAATTGAATCATAGACAGTCTGAAAGTTTTTGCATTTTTAAACACAAATTAAGCACTGTAGAAATATGCCTTTGCATGACATCAGTTTGTGCTCTCATTGGGTGAGGTGCACACCTCCAACTCCACTCATGTAGAATGCATGTTCAAATTCTTCTCTTTGGAGAGTTGTGTGATTGATTTGAAATTTAACTAATGTTTCTTCAGGTGTATGGTGGTGTTACAATGGATTTGGTGGATTTGGGGTATCAATATCTAGTAAAAGATGATTTATAGAAATAAACATTTAAGATAGTTGTTATTGTTCCTTGGCGAGTACATCCCATGATATTAATTTCAGGTGAGTTTATGTAACCTTAACAGCTAAGATAATAAATGCCTAAGTTCATGATGTGCAATTGGAAACAGACTACAGTAGCATGATTTGTTGTAGAAGTCTAGACTAGAAGTATAACAGTAAGTACTTCACAACTTTTGCTAAATAATCTAACAAGCTGAATAACTGCAATAATTTGAATAATTTTGCATGCTGTTCCTGCTAACATTATGGGCCTAAACTTGTTCCTGGCACTGGGTTTTGCTGTGAGTGACGCTAGGGGCCAGCATGTCTTCCAGGTTGCTGCCTGCTGGCTGTACTGCTACCCACAACTGTTCAGTAGGCTTGGCCATATGACTGCATCTATACACCAGCCTACAGTCAACCTGTCAGTCCGCCCTGTTATCCAGCCTCTTCGTCCCATTTCTTTGGCACTCCGAGTTGCAACGCATAGAGAAGGGCCGATTTCAAAGAACCTTTGAACCTCTTTTCTCTCTCTGTCCACATTCAAAACAGCCCAATTCACACTAGAATTTAAACTTCTCTGACATTTGGAAAAAAATGGACCATCAAATCCAAGATTATTCCTTTTATTCTGGTTGCCTTAACCCCTTTACTCAGATTGTTTTTTTTTCCATTGTCAACACAGTTTAACCACTTGGCAGTAGAATCTGTGTACATATCTAGACACTATCAGATCTCTCACCTCTTACCATGTCCATCTATATGCCTATAAAAGCCAGGTGTAGGTGGCGTCTAACCCTACTCTCCTTCAAAATCCAGACCAGATTGGGCTATTCTGTGAGACAAACTGCTTCTTATCCCATTATGTTTTTTAAACAGACACTTAAAGCCTTTTTAAAAGGGAACAAATCATCTCTTATACCGAAAGTATCAAAAAGAAATGCTTGTTAGAATTCAAAGAACTACAAGGAGACATTTTGAAAAAATATCAAGGTCTAAAGCAGTACAACACTAATTAGTAAATATAAAGCTTTGATATAACACCTTGCATACTTCAAGTTGAAAAAAAAAAACATTTTAAGAAGCAAACAAATATACCATGAAGAAGAAAGTTTTACCATGAGTAGTACAATTTAAACAAAAACAGGTTTTGTAACCCCTCCGTCCATCCTTTTTCTACCACTTATCCGGGTTTGGGTCAGCATGTCCTGGGTCTTCTCCTAGGTCTCCTCCTAGTGGGACATGCCCGGAATACCTCACAAGGGAGGCAACCAGGAGGAATCCTAATCAGATGCCACCTCATCTGGCTCCTCTCCATGTGGAGGAGCAGCAGTTCTACTCTGAGACCCTCCCAGATGGCCGAGCTTCCCACCCTATCTCTAATGAAGAGCCCAGCCACACTGCAGAAGAAAACCCATTTCGGCTGCTTGTATACGCAATCTTGTTCTTGGTCACTACCCAAAGTTCTTAACCTTGATGAGGGTGGGAACGTAGATTGACCGATAAATTTAGAGCTTCGCTTTTAAGAGGAGCTCTCTCTTAATCACGACGGACCAGTAAAGCGCAAGTATTACTGCCAACGCCGCACCGATCCACTTGTTGGTCTCCCACTTCCAACCCGCATTCGTAAACAAGACCTCAAAGTACTTGAACTCCTCGACTTGGGGAAGGACATCCCCCCCGACTCGGAGGAGGCACACTACTTTTTTCCGGTGTGAGGCCATGGTCTCAGACTTGGAGGCACTGATCCTCATCCCAGCCAAAAACACATGTGGACTGGTTGGACTGGAGAAACTCCCATGCCAACGTCCAAGCCAACGCAACCCCCCCTTCGATTCCCCTCAAAGGAGTATGGAAGTCTTTTTCCTTGGCCTCCCCGACCTCCTCCCACGTATGAGTTTTTGCCACAGCAACCACCCGAGCCGCATGCCGCTCTGACTGCCAATACCCATCAGCTCCCTCTGGAGTCCCACAGGCCAGAAAAGCCAGATAGGACTCCTTCTTCAGCCTGACGGCATCCGTCACTGCTGGTGTCCAACAGGGGGTTCGATGGTTACCGCCATGAAAGGCATCGACAACCTTGTGACCGCAACCCTGGGAAGCCAGATCTACAATGGAAGCGCAAAATATGCCCCAGTCAGACTCAATCTCCCCCACCTCCCCCGCAACGTGATCGAAGCTGCCCAGGGAGGGGCTGTGGGTTGTAACATATAACTCAAAAGAAATTAGCGACGCTTTCGAACGTTAGGTTTATCCAATTATTTTTTGAGCGTAGCGATGCCCCCTCTTGCATACATATCAGACTGCACACTTTTAGGAAAAGATCCACTTTGACTTCATTGATAACCAAGTGACAGATAATCCTATATTTCAGCTTCTGATAAAAATTTGGTGTGAGGTCTACAAAATTCTGTGTTCAAGGTGGGACTGTCACAAAAAACACCTTGGATATAAAATGAACTTATACTTATCACCCTAACCAATAACATACTGGATACATGGCATCATAATGGAACCCAAGACTGGGAGGATTGGTTTGATAAAGGATTTTTCATATAATCTAAACAACTAAAGAGGAAATTATTTTAAATGTTAAATGGTTGGTGAAAAATCAGGTTTGCCTTAGTTTACAATTACTTGGGAGTCAGATTTTAATGTTACAATTGATGAAAAATTTTGGACAGATTTATGCCAAAACAGCCTATCAGCTGTTAATGTTCGGTATTCACTAATTAACTATAATAATTTGCATCAACTGATTCTTGAAAAACGACTTAGCGGTGTACAAAGGTGAGGCCTTTCAGGCGCGGCACGTGCTCCATTAAAACTAAGATTGTAGATGTTAATTATCAAGTGAGCCCTGAACTCTGTCCACTGGGAAATCTCCCGAGTACTAGTGCTCCAAACAATGCCCAACTTAAATGAATGGAAATTGCTCCAAGTGTGACACAGAGGTACATTGTCATGGAAATTTGACTGCGTCCTCCTCATTGACAGGTGGTCTTTTGAGATTAATAGTAGTATTCCCCTGCAAAGGAATCACATATTCCCAGGAAATTGTATAAATATTATATCTTTTTAAAATTGGCATTTATATTTAAATCATATTGGCATTTCTTTCACACCAAAATAGTAGTTTATAACAAATGTACATACTGACTGATTTATTTTGTTTTCTTGGTTTCGGGGGATTGTAGAGCACAGAGATCCCTTCATGCCTCAGCCTTTATTATACCTGTATACTGATTTCTTAGTATGCAGTGCATATATAAAAACTAAAAATAAATTTGTTCAAACAAAGGGGAGGGAGTATAATGGGCTGTTATTTGTTTATTTTTACTCTTGTAAAGCGCTAATATAACTTCCCTTGCTGTTCTCTTTTAATCAGAGCAGCATGGCATTTATTTTGATAAGCAGATATATTCATAAGTTGCTCCTTAGTCCCTGTGATATATTAGACATACTGTACACCTGGGAACAACACAGGTGTCATACCACATCTCAGTCAAGTCTGCGTGAGCAGCGACTGGATTGTTCACGTCAGAGATAACTGGCTAATGAGACTTAAGTTGGGATAAGTCCAGCCTTTGTATTGTAAGGGGCAGGCCCAGCCCAAGAATAAGAACTGAGAATTACATCCAGAAGCTGAAGCTTTTTTAGACTAAAATCCTGTGAAAGCTCTGTCACTCTGAGCCCAGCGATGCATTACTTTACCTGTGACCAGAATAAATTACACATCTGGACACAACTCCCAGTGTGCCATCCAGCATAGCAAAACTAAGGTAGTTAGTTTATTGATCAAATACAGTTATGGATTGCATAAACAGAAAATGGGACATTTATCAACCTATTTATTAAAGTGCAAAGCACCAGCTGAAGCAGATGATTTTTGTTTTTTTTTACTGTGTTAACTGGCTCAGCCTAAAACATATATTCAGGTAGACATCAACCAGCACTGAGATTGGTTGGAATTGTGTCATCAAAAATAAAAAATTCCAAGTTGATTGAGCATGTTGAGACAACCTAATAGAAGGTTTACACAGCAAGCATGTGTGAAGGCAAGTAAGAGCAAAAAAACACCTAAGAGAGTAATGAATTGAGAGGATGTTAAATATTATGTTCCTTCAGAGACAGAAGCAAACACAAAAAAATAATTTTATGCCTTCATGGAGACTTTAGTTTGCTCAAATTAAGTTATTTTTTGCATTTAAATATTTTCTACTCACAATAAAGCTGATACACTCGATACAGTTGCTAAATATATTTTTGGGGATAAGAATATACCACTGCTCACTCAGAAATGTGGCACGCTATGCAACCATTTGCATTCAAAATAAGTCCTAAATTACCCTCGAGGTCTTTTTTAACCAAAACGAGACACCCAGAAAGAGAACTGAACACCCCATCCAGCGTGGACTTACTGCCATGTATCACATCACTTATAGATTGCTCCTCCTCAGTGTTGTGGCTTCTCGGCCAACAAATCAATTCCTGAGCACATGGTTACAGCCAGCCCTGCGATGGACTGGCGGACTGTCCCGGGCGTACCCCTCCTCCCGCCCATTGACCACTGGGATAGGCTCCGGTTCTCCCCGCGACCCCATTAGGGAATAAGCGGTAACGATAATGGATGGATGGGATGGATGGTTACAGCCACCATTTTCTTTTTTATCCCCTTTTCTCCAAAGCACACAGACATAGATCCACATATATACACAGATTAATACTACTTTTCCCATTGCTCATTTTATACATCGCATTGGTTTAGTAGGCAGTTTATGACTCAACTAAAATAAATTATGCTGCACTATTTTGATTGAAATTTTGTTTTGTATATACAGTATCACCGCAAAAAACTTCTGGTGGTTAAAGTCAGCGCTGAAATTCGCAACCTTAAAAAATGCCCTGTATGTGTCAAATCTATATCAGATTGACACATATAGACCAACCTATTTTTAAATTGATATAGGCTTTTAGTGATTGGCTTCTGACGTACCTCAAGACAAATAATTCCCATTGATCAATTTATCAGATTTATCAATTTATTGTTAACAACTGTCTTTGGACCCTTTGGGTATTTGGTAATATCTAAACAGCTCCTACTTAACCCCAACATAAATGAATGATCGTTTCCGCACAAAGTCAAACTCAATCGATTACATCCCCAGGCTGATGGAACGGTGTGCATACAGCTAACTCATCTGGTTAGTCTGTTTCTAACCTGGCTGTGAGAGGTTGGAAATTAGATTGTTATTCTGAGCTACCAGGAAATGCTCAGAGATCCTAAAGCAAAGCAGAGTAGCTGACAAGGGCTAGGAGGAGCCCTGCTACCTTGCTGTGTTTAGCTCTTTGTGTAAAATGACCCTGAGGTTTTTAGTCCCCATGATTATAATTACAACAGAAGGTTTGTACCATTTATAAAAAAAAGTGTGCCAGCTTTATTTGGACACGTTGATTTTTTACTTGAGCTAATAGCCAAAATGTTGGTCAGAGACAATTACATTTAATTTACATTTTATTGTGTGTATGTGTGTATGCACCTACATTTGTATTATTTTCCACCACAAATGGGCGCAGGGAATTAATTTAATTTATGATTGTTCAAAATATTTTTACCTTAATTTTAGAGGGAACTGTTTTTGCAAGTTTCTATTGCGTTCCTGAGTAAAAGGTACAACTTATACAGTCATTCATTGCATTTTTGGCAATTCTTGATCTAAGAATTAAGTGTCAGTGTGTTTTGGTTACCCAAACACTTAGTTTAGAGGCAAGTTAAAAAATGACAAAAACACAAGAGCATAAAAGAAATAAAGCTACGCCCATCTTCTTTAGAGCAGGATCCATAGTGATGGATGTTTTTATTTTGCAGTAAACGTCCAAATAAAGATGGAGGTACACATAGTGACAAGTTATTATAGCTACAGTGCCCCAAACAAGCATCTAACTGCAAGGTGTTGTCCAGATGGTTTGGTCCACAGACAAAAGTGCAATGTTAAGGACGCCAAACCTTGTTAAGGTGTGAAATAGCTTGGCACAGTGAGAAGAGAAAGCCCCCCCTCACACACTTTTCTGACATTAAAACAGTGGTCGACATTTTCAGCTCTGTAAGATTTCCTTGTGGCAACATACAGCTGAGCCTCACCTAAATCTTAGTTCCAGTTACTCTGAGCATCCAGCTTTTGCAGAGATTTTGCAGAACTGACAACTGACATGCAGTTCACATACTGCTAACCATTAAAATGCTTTTTAAAAAGATATATGCACACATGCATCATTTTTGGAAATTCATGCATGTTTTCAGTTTGATCAAATTTGAATTAGATCATTGCACATTCAAAGGGGTTCCCTCTCCATAACAAAGAGGGAAAGAAGCAAAGGCTTTGCCAAGTGCTTTAAGTCTTAAGACTCCCAGCTATATGGCAGTGAACACCCCACTGGAAGCTGCATCGTGATGGAGGGGATCAACATTGATGACCAACAGAGGAGGTGTGCTTTATGGTGCCTCCTTCACATACCCCCGAAAAAAAAGGGGGGAACGATAAGGCTGCTGTGTGCAACGCATGATCAGGAACACACAATACGAGCCCTGGTAGAACATGTTATTACGGAGTCTGAAGCGTAACGCTCCACACACAAGATGGCAATTGATCCTCGGTGGTGCTAGCTTTAAGGTGAGGAGAGAAAAAGCAAAGGCATCCGTCAGAGCTGCAACTGGCTGCTTTCAAAAATCAACAACATTTCTTATTTTAGCTGATAGATCTAAAGCATCGCTGCGTCGAAACCTAAAAGCAGCAGAGATTTGCAAAAAAAAAAAAAACGCACCTTTGCAATTGCCATCTGATGCCGTGGAGAAATAACGCGGAGACAACGGCTGCCCCTGCGCGTTTTTTTTTTTAGCAACCTAACACCTTTTTTTCCTCTGCAGTCGAACGGGGTCCGTCCGCCCGCGCTATACTTACCCACGCCACGCTGGTGTAGCCTATATCACGATTAAGAAAAGAAAAAAGTCAGATGAGAGTATTACAAATCCACACGGAGCGCCAGGACGGGTGGGCCACCGTCGACCGACAGAGGGATGCTGCGCTCGCCTGCATCCACAACTGTGAACGCAACCGGAGCCCTCCAGCTGATGAAAAGCGTCTGGGAGTCTGCGGAGGAGCAGCCCGTCAGATGTGCACGCGCGAGGGTGCACGGACACGTTGCTGCGCGTTTTCAGATGACACCTTCTTCTGTCTATCCATCTATCCATCGATCTATCTGTCGATCTATCTATCTATCTATCTATCTATCTATCTATCTATCTATCTATCTATCTATCTATCTATCTATCTATCTATCTATCTATCTATCTAACTTTCAGTTCTTGGCAAATCAACTAAATGAAGAGAGGGAGTACACACAATGGCCACAGAAAATAAATCATATCTCTTACAGCTCTACCAGTCATTTGCATTCAATGAAATTAAACCTAACCCACAAGATATGTTCAATCAATGCTCAACAACTTAAACCCCCATTCATCTACAGGGTGAAGGCTCTTTAGACCCCTCCTTATCTGTTACTAAGCCGCTCATTACCCTAAATCAAAAGCAAGCCAGACTCCGATGGATTCCCTGTTGAATTTCTTAAATATTTTTTGGACCATGGTGGCACCACTATTCTTCTGATCTTCGTCAGAAATAAAAAAGACAAAGGTGAAAGAGATGAAATAAAGCAGTTAAGTACGATTTCCAGTGTTAACCCCATTCAGTTTAAAATACAGTTTGGTTATAAACCTGTCATTGATTAATACTAACTAGATTAGAAACATCCCTTCAGTAATTATTCATGACCAAACAGGATTTATCGATTGCTGTATTGTTGTGCCTGCAAGAAACTATTAAACCTTATTCAAGTAGTATTGAAGCTTATAACAAATTTCTTGCATCTATCAGGCTACTATCAACTGGTCAAAATCAATATTTTTTAAGACAACAGAAAGCTCCTGGATTTCTGTACACTGTAAAACCAGACATGTCAATTTAACTCAAATCATTTTGGAAAGCTGATTGTACAAACTGATTTAAGTTTTGTAACTCAAACTATTTTAGTTTATCTAACTATGTGATTAGAATTTTTAAAAACCCAACACAATAAAAGTTAGGTAACTCCAATGCATATGTTTATTCACTAATTTTATTCAGCATGATGCAACTTAAACCATTAATAAATTGGACCAAAATGCTATATTTTTTCTCATGCCTTCATAAAAGAGTTATATGTTCACATTCAAATGACGTCAAATTTGAATGGTGCTTATTTAAAAAACTTAAAACACTAATAGAATTACTCCATCTAATTGGGGAAAACGATTGTTCAAAATTGTATAAGTTGTATTAACACAACACATTTGTCTTTAGACTTCTCCATTCCATTTTTATGAACTAAAAACTGCCGCTTCAAACATAATTTAAGCTACAAAAACTATTATCAAATTACACAAATTGGCGTTTTAAACCTGACACTTTCAAGGTATTGAGACATTTTCGAATCAATTTGCTAAATCCTTTAAAAACTTGCTTATAAACATTTAGGTGTACATCAATAAATTTGTTAGAATAATTTAATTCTTTTAGTACAAAATGACTGTAGTTGTCATTAACCATAACCATCACAATTTTTAGATACATTTTGATGAGCAATTATTATCTTCATATCATTTTCACATTTTGACTACAGGAAATGCAAACTACAAGGATATGCAAATGCAAACTACAGTATGTCCAATTACCTGGGCATACTGTAAGAATCCAACATTTGCGTTCAACAGTCTGAATTTACAACAGTTTACAGAAAGATATGTGGCTTGTAAACTGCTTTGCCCAAACCTCCGTCAAAATGGCATGCACTCGTCTCACAATTAAAAAACGAGGATTCAAAATATTAATCTTGAATAAATACCAATCATAGTTTTATTCATAAATATACTGGCATAAATCTATAATGAATACAATTGTAGTTTGTTATGACATGGCGGTATAAGGATAACTAAAATTCTTCATGAATAATGTGAGAAAATACTTGCGGGATCTGAGTTGTTTGCCTTCAAATAAAAAAAAACACAAAATTGTCACACCATGGTGAATTCTTTTGGATTTGGTTCGTTTTGTCTGTTCTAACTCTCCTCCTGTTCGTGAATGAGCATATTGAGCATTCCATAGTCCTTGTCTAGTTAAGTGAGCCTTATACTTGTTTTGATTTCTGTGATCTCAAAGTAAGATCTTTGCTTTGTAAATTTCATGGCATGCGTTACGTTTCATATCCATTTGTTTTTTTCCCCTCCTTAATGGAGTGTTTGTCTGTTTTATAGCTTTGTGCTTTTTCCTCCAACTTATTATTACCATTTCATAGTTTATAGTTCCTCCAATTAGTGGAGTAATTTTTGTTTACAGATTATTTTTCATAGATCTCTCTTGCCCCGGTTACAAGAGTTGATTATTTTGATAACGTTTAATGGCATAGATATCCTTGACTTTTGTGAGCAAGTTTTGGTTTTTGTCTCTCTGTGGAGAGAACTTCTATTAGAATGTAGCTTTTCATAGCCTGGTGTGTTAAATCTAATTCAGAGAACAAATCAATAAAGACCATTTCCAACTTGATACCTGCCTCTGTGTCTTGCTGGATCCTGACAAAGAAGAATGTCAAGGCTACTTTAAAGAGCTGATAACCTAAACAACGGACCTGAAGCTATTCATCATTGATTGCTGGATAAGACTGAATGTGTAAGAGTAATTTTCAGCTAGTTTTGATCTCATCTATTAGGGCTTGTCCACTGCTTCGGCAAAATAAGTCTTTCAATATTGTTGGTATCAAGTATGACCCTTAGCTTCAATTGGTTGCCTCCATCTGAAAATGTTGCTTCTCTAACACACAGGATTCAATAACATGGTGATATTTCAAAACAGGTTGAGTTGTCAGGCAGTGTAAAATCACTTCAAAGGCCATAACGCCGTCAAACTGTCAATTTCAGGCAGGAGTCGGTTCTTGTGTGTGTGTGTCTGTTACTACTAAATGGTTTGTAAGGATATTGTAGCGGGTGATCACATTATTTTTTAGTGTTTATCAGAATCAGATCAGAATCAGAAATACTTTAATAATCCCAGAGGGAAATTATTGCCCAGATCCCCTCCCTGGGCTGCCACCTCATCGGGGTGGAGGGGTTTGAGTGTCCCAATGATCCTAGGAGGTATGTTGTCTGGGGCTTTAAGCCCTTGTATGGTCATCCAAGGCAAACAGGTCAGAAGATAGGGCTCAGACGAAGGGCAGCCCAAAGACCCCTTATGTTGAAAAAAATTAATGGACCCGGGTCGATGTGCGAGGCAGCAAGATTCCGGCTAGATATAGTCGGTCACGCCTCTATGCACAGCTCTGGCTCTGGAACCTGTCTACTTGAGAGGGGTTGGACGCTCTTCTATTTTGGAGTTGTCCCCGGTGAGAGGCGCCGAGCAGGAGTTGTCATATTTGTTGCCCCACATCTTGATGCCTGTACATTGGGGTTCACCCCGGTTGGCAGACTGGAGTTGTGGTCCCCCTATTCAAAAAGGGGGACCATAGAGTGTGTTCCAACTACAGGGGAATCCGAAAGTCTATTCGGTGGTTCTGGAGAGGAGGGTCCCTCGGATAGTCGAACCTCGGATTCAGGAAGAGCAATGTGATTTTCCCCCTGGCCGTGAAACGCTGCATCAGGATCCCTCAGAGGGGGCCAGGAGGGTGCATGGGAGTTCGCCCGACCAGTTTACTACAGTTTTGTGGACTTGGAGAAGGTGTTCGACCATGTCCCTTGGGGAATCCTGTGGGGGGTGCTCTGGGAGTATGGTTAGGGTTAGTTTTGTTATGGGCTGTTAGGTCCCCGTTCAACCAGTGTCAGAGCTTGGTTCACATCACCGGTAGTAAGTCTATCTCGTTTCCGGTGAGGGTTGGACTCCGCCAAGGTTGCGCTTTGTCTCCGATTGTGTTCATAACTTGTATGGACAGAATTTTGTAGGTGCAGCCAAGGTGTTGAAGGTTTCCGTCTTGGTGGCCTTAGAATTGCATCTCTGCTTTTCAGGAGCAGATGTGGACCTATTGGCTTTATCAAGTTGTGATCTTGCGGCACGGTGGTGTGGTGGTTAGCACTGTCGCCTCCCAGCAAGAGGGTTCTGGGTTCAAATCCCGGGTGGAACCAGGGCCCTTCTGGGTGGAGTTTGCATGTTCTCCCTGTGTCTGCGTGGGTTCTCTCCGGGTTCTCCACAGTCCAAAAACCTGCATGTTAGGCTGATTGGAGATTGGGGAAATTGCCCTTAGGAGTGAATGTGAGTGTGAGTGGTTGTTTGTCCTTGTATGTCCTGTGTGTGGCCCTGCGATGGACTGGCGGACTGTCCAGGGTGTACCCTGCCTCTCGCCCGTTGACCACTGGGATAGGCTCCAGTTCCCCCGCGACCCCATGAGGGAATAAGCGGTATTGATAATGGATGGATGGATGGAAGTTGTGATCTTCAGCTCTTGCTGGAGCGGGTCGCAGCCGAGTGCTTGCATGAGGATTAGTACCTCCATGTCTGAGACCATGGTCTCTCACTGGAAAAGGGTAGAGTCCTCTGGGTCGGGGGGGATGTCCTTCCCCAAGTGATCAACAAAGTCGATCATTGAATTGCGGCCTAGGGTGTCCTGGTGCCAAGAGCACATATGAACACCCTTACGCCTGAACATTGTGTTGGTTATGGACAATCAGTGCCGAGAACAGAAACTCAACAACAAAACACCACTCGGGCTCAAACTGGGGGGGGCATTCCTCCCAACCACGCCCCTCCGGGTTTCACTGTCATTGCTCAAGTGAGTGTTGAAGGTCCCCAGCAGAACAAGGAAGTCCCCGGGGGGGGGACCCTCCAGCACCCCTTCCAAGGACTCCAAAAAGGGTGGTTGTTGCTTATGCACTGCTGTTAGGTGCATAAGCAACAACAACAGTCAGCACCCGTCCCCTCCCCCGAAGTCGAAGGGAGGTTACCCTTTCATCCACCGGGGTAAACCCAAACGTACAGGCACCAAGATGGGGGGCTCCTGCTCTGAGCCAAATTGGCAGTGTTTGGCACAATTGAAATGAGAATAAGTTGGTTTACTAAATTAAAAGCTGACTCAAACAAGTTTTTGGTGAAAAAACTTAGTGGGTATTTAGTGGGTATTTGTAGAGCAGCACCCTTAGTGATTAAACTTAACAAGAAGGGGTCTGTGTGCTTGGGCTTAAACTCAAGTCCATGGATCAGATTGTAAAAATAAATGTGCTGTGATATACTTCTAAAAGTTCTCTTTTAGATGGTATAAAGTATTTAAAATTGAGTAGTTTTAACACACTACTTTAAGATGAATATAGATACATTTTGAGTAAAGTTAAAGACTCATTAAACTGAAAAATTTGCTCCAGGTTCTCGGTTCTATGTGAATTAAGCTTTTTTAAAGGTCTCATTTACCTGTTTAGGGAAAAATTACTCAGGAAAAGGAGGATGAAGAGAATGAAAAAGGGAAAGGATGATGTAATTCCCAGCAGTAGGTGAATGCCTCCTCTCTAACTCTTCAAACTAATGAGAGAAAATGAGGGTAAAGCTACTGTAAAGTAGTAGATTTTTAGAATGTCATCTGCCACCCTCACAGACATAATTTAGGCAGCAGAAGAATTTCCAGGTCATTTAAAAAAAAGGTGTATTGTTTTTACAGTAAGAGAGTAATATTCTAATATTTTTAGAGATACCGTAACCTCCTGCAATTTCTGTGTTTGTGTTTTTGTCATAAGCAGTCTTTGATCTACCCTGTATTCCTTTACTCTATTAAAGTTATAATAATGTTACAGTATGGTATTTATAGACGTGTTGACAAAATCGTCCCTTATTTTTGGCTGGAGCAATACACATTACTGGCTCTAGGTCCCCCAAGGTTGCATCTCGATCATAGACAGTTAGGCCTGGCAGGCTCAAATGTATTGTGAAGGTCTGCTGGGAACGCCTGGCAGAGTCCCCCATGACAAGGAGCTTTAAACCCCACCTCCTGAAGAGCTTCAAACACGTGCCTCAGTGGCAGGGCTCTGGGGATGGATGAGATTCATCCAGAGTTCCTCAATGCTTGGGATGTTGTAGGTTTATGTTGGCTGATGCGACTCAGCAATATCATGTGGACAAGGGGGATAGTTCCACTGGATTGGCAGACCGAGGTTGTGGCCCCCCTCTTAAAAAAGGGAGACTGAGGACGTAGAGTATGTTCCAATGATAGGGCAATCACACTCTTAAGCCTTCCTGATAAGGCATATTCAGGGATTTTAGAGAGGAGGGTTCATTGGATAGTTGAACTTTGGATTCAGGAAGAGCAGTGTGGTTTTTGCCCTGACCGACGAAACTGGACCAGTTCCTTACCCTCACCAGAATCCTGGAGGTTACATGTGAGTTAACCCAACCAGGGTAGATCAGTTTTGTTGACTTGGAGAAAGTGTTCGACCAGGTCCCTCAGGGAATGCTATGGAAAGTGCTCTGGGTGCTCTTGTATGGGGTATTAGGCCCTTTGATATGGGCCTGGAACCTTCTCCCGATTGATACAAGATGGAGGGTTTCTTGGAGGGTGGACAGGCTGAAGGAAACAGGCAGGGTTAGAGCTTAACCTGGGCAGGTATGCAACTTTGAGATGGTTCCTAGGGTACCAAAGACTTTTGACAAAAACAGGATGTTATTGACATATATTTGGAAATAACAAGATATATCTGGAATAGTTGGATCTGACTATGAGAAAGATAGAAGGAACCCCATTACGGATTCTGCACAATTCCCTGCTTTTGACTGGCACTGATGGTCCTTGAAGAGGCTTTCCTCCACATTTTTTCCCTCCCATTTACTCCCATTTAGTTCATTTTCCTTGTCTTTTTAGCCTGTCAGTGACTATTCGAATGACTGTGGGTAGGGTTGGCTCCTCCCCTGATAAACCAAGTGTATTTGGCAAAACTACAGGAGACCCAGCACCATTCTGCTACCATGGTGCTGGACAAAATAGGAAAACACAGTTTAAAAGTGTGGGGTTGAGTGAGGTGCCCTC